AGGAGGAGGAGATGGAGGAGAGGAGGAGGAGGAGGAAGAGGAGGATGCTCTAGGCTGTAAATAAAGGAGAAAGAGGAGGGAGAGGAGGAGGAAGGAGAGGGAGGAGCAGCCTCTCTTCCACGGGGCACTCCCGGGGGTAAGGGGGCTACCCCTTCCCAGTGATTTTTATTCATGTGGGGCTCACCCCAAAGTATCAAAAGTAGCTTCGTAAAACAAAAAACAGGCAGGCTCGGTGGCTCACGCCTGTAATCCCAGCACTTTGGGAGGGCGCGGGGGGTGGGGGCGCGATCACCTGAGGTCAGGAGTTCGAGACCAGCCTGGCCAACATAGTAAAACCCAGTCTCTACTACAAATACTAAAATTAGCTAGGCATGGTGGCGGTCACATGTAATTCCAGCTACTCGGGAGGCCGAGGCAGGAGAATCGCTTGAACCAGGGAGGCGGAGGTTGCAGTGAGTGGGGATCACACCACCGCACTCCAGCCTGGGCGACAGAGTGAGACTCTGTCTCAAAAAAGAAAAAGAAAAAGAAATTAGCTAGGCCTGATGGCTCCTGTCTATAGTCCCAGCTACTCAGGAGGCTGAGTGAGGCAGGAGGATTCCTGGAGCCCAGGAAGTCGAGGCTGCAGTGAGCCATGATCACGCCACTGCACTCCAGCCTGTTCAAAAAAATTAAAAAATTTTTTTAAAAGAGAGAAAAGAAAAGATGGGTTTTCCATTAGTATCCAAAGAGAAAAGAACGATTTTTCCATAGGAGGAATGGAAGCTTGGTCTTGAATTTGGGGAGCGGGTCATAAGGGAAGAGAAGGGAGCCAATATTTACTGAACACTTCCCCTGTGTTAAGCACTTTACATGTTTACCTGACCCCTATCTTGTCAATATCCTCTTTAGAAACTTCCAGTGGCTCCCTGTTCCACACAAATAAAACCTGGACCCTAGAGTTCAGTATTCAAAGATCTCCCAGATCTGACCCTCAGGTTGCCTTTTTAAAAATTTAAAATACAGCTCACATAACATAAAATTCACTTTTTTTTTTTTTTTTTTTTTTAATATGAGTCTTGCTCTGTCTCTCAGGCTGGAGTGCAGTGGCACAATCTCGGCTCACTGCAACCTCTGCCTCCCAGGTTCAAGCAATTCTCTTGCCTCAGCCTCTCAAGTAGCTGAGATTGCAGGCATGCATCACCATACCTTGCTAATTTTTTGTATTTAGTAAAGATGGGGTTTCACCATGTTAATCAGGCTGGTCTAGAACTCCTGACCTCAGGTGATTCGCCTGCCTCAGCCTCCCAAAGTGCTGGGAATACAGATGTGAGCCACTGCACCCAGTCAAAACTCACCATGTTGAAGTGTACAATTCAGTGGATTTTAGTACATTTACCACACTGTGCAGCCATTACCACTATCTAATCCCAGAACATTTTTCAACAGTCCAAAAAGAAATCCCACGTCCATTGGTGGTATTCTCATTCTCCTTCCCTCAGCCCCTGGCACCCACTAATCTACTTTCTGTCCCTGTGAATTTGCCTATTCTGGACATTTCACAAAAACGGAATTATTCAGCAGGGGTCTTTTATGACTGGCTTCTTTCGGTTAGCCTGAAGTTCAGGGTGAAGGCATCCTGCAGGGTGGACCGGTCTCCATCCCTTTCCATGGCTGAGGATGAACCTGTCTCCACTTCCATCTGTCTCCACTGTGTACACAGATCTTGTTTCCTTTCATCTGCTGACAGCCATCTGGGTTGTTTCTGTTTTGGGGCTATGAACTGTGCTGCCGTGAACCTTCCTGTGTAGGTTTTTGTGTAGACATAGGTTTTCAGTTCTCTTGGGTGTATACCTGGGAGTAGAACTGTTGCATCATATGCATCATATGGTAATTCTATGTTTCACTTTTTGAGAAGTTGCCAGACTGTTCTCCACAGCAGCCGCACCATTTTACATTCCTACCATCACCAATGAGGGTTTTCATTTCCCCTCATCCTTGCTAATACTTGTAATTTTTCCATTTAAAAACATTATAGCCATCCTAGTAGGCACAAAGTGGTAACTCTTTGTGGTTTTGATTTGCTATGCTTACCCAATTTTATCACACACACACATCATGAAACAGGAGAGGCAAAGAACAGCACCGTGGTTGAGCTCATTCTTTGCTCTCAGACTGAACTGGATCAAATCTAGGCTCTGCCATTTGTGGCGGTGTTGCCGGAGAGTGCCATGCAGTTCCAGGCTTTTGGTGTCCCGAACAAAGAATCGGACATGACACACACAGAGGGCAAAGCAAAGCAGCAAATGTTTGTTAAGTGCAGGAGGGGGATGGTGGCTCACACGTGTAATCCCAGCACTTTCAGAGGCCAAGGCAGGTGGATCACTTGAGGTCAGGAGTTCAAGACCAGCCTGGGCAATATGGTGAAACCCCATCTCTACTGAAAATACAAAAATTCGCTGGGTGTGGTGGTGGGTGAGCCCATAATCCCAGCTACTCTGGAGGCTGAGGCAGGAGAATCACTTGAACCCGGGAGGGGGAGGTTGCAGTCAGCAGAGACGGCACTCCAGCCTGGGTGACAGAGCAAGATTCCATTTCAAAAAAGAAAAACAAAAAACAGTTGATTAAGCACAGTACTGCACTCTCGGAGAGGGAAGAGCGAGCTGGTCTCTTTGAGATGAGAGCTGCATTAGTTTGCTGTACTTTAGGTTACTTTATAAATTTTTTTTTCTTCTCTTCCCAAGGTTGCCTGACCTCTAGCCAGTGTCTGCCTTTTTGTTTGTTTGCCAGTTTTTGAGACAGAGTTTCACTCGGTCACCAAGGCTGGAGTGCAGTGGCACGATCCCGGCTCACTGCAACCTCCCCCTCCCTGCCCAGTGTCTGCCTTTTTGATTGGTAGGTGTGTTGCTTAGTTATTTTGACGCTGTGAGCTTCTGTGTCATCTCCATCCCATAGTTTTAAGTACATGCATGATATGAGTCCATATGCATGAGCTTGAATGAGTGGATCATCACACGGGGTCATGTTAAAGATACAATTTTTCTCTCTAATGTGTGTGCCTAGCCCAGAAGAGCTGCTCCTTGCTGATCTGGTCCAGATCCTCTGGCCATGGAGTCTTTGCTCGCTTCTCTTCCTTTTGTAATTGGCTGCTTAGCCTCCTTCTCTTATCTTGCTTCTTGCTCACCTGCCCTTTCACCATACTTCTGCTCTCTGCTTTTACTTGTTCTGTCCTTTATCCAACTTTTTAAAAATTTTTTAATTTTTATTTTTAGTAGAGACGGGGTTTTACCATGTTAGGCAGGATGGTCTCTATCTCCTGACTTTGTGATCCGCCTGCCTCAGCCTCCCAAAGTGCTGGGATTACAGGCGTAAGCCACTGTGCCCAGCCCTCCTTTATCCAACCTTTAATTCCTTTTGCTATTCTCCTGCCCCATTTTCTCCATTCTCCTGCCTCAGTTGTATAACCTTGAGCAGATTTCTCAGCCTCCCTAACTCCGTTTTAACAAGCACATCTTACAGGTACAGTAATACCACACATCATCCTCGTGAGTTAGGATTAAATGAGACAATGAGCATGCAAAGTAGTTCA